AGATAGATAGATAGATAGATAGATAGATAGATAGATAGATAGATAGAAAGGCAGGCAGGCAGGCAGATAAATAAATACATAAATAAATAAATTCATAGGCCTATTGCTATTCCTACAGTAATCAAGACAAATATTGTTTGCAACATAAAAGTTACACAGTACAGGGCCTTCCAAAATCCACCCATTATAGCATTTAGTTCAAAGCAAAATCTTTTCCAGAATTGTTAAATGTGAATTTATAATCAGAAATTCTAGGTAAACATGCTGGGGCTAACAGCTGTCCTTCATTGGAATTAAAACATTTGCACACTTGTTTTCTTTGCCAAAAACCACCCTCAGGAAATGTTACAGGCCCATCGGGTGATGACAGCAGCCAGATCGATGAAAATATTCGGATCCTTAAATGCAACGATTAATCAGAGGAAATTATGTGACTGACATTTGAAAGATTCATTAATTCATGCCATAATTCCTCAGTCGGAAATTCCAATTTTCCTTTAACCAGCTTAGGCTGGTTTGTTTTGTGCCTATAAGATGTGCTGGACGGCTCCACGAATAAACCTTTTCATGCTTTTGCACTAAAAATAAAGTTGAAAGCTTACATGATAAGCGACTCAGCTACATTATCACCGCAGGAAGCAGTTGGAAAGCTGGCAACCTTGTTTTCCATTTCTTATGGCATAAGAGCTTGCAGGAGGAGAGGAAGAGAAGGAGAGAGTAGAATCACAGAAAAGGCATTTGTGTTTTTACCTCAGAAATCTTTCTAGTGCCTCACCTTTCGGTCCAGGTAAAATGGTATGCGTGGAACAGATCTCGGCTGTCTGTCGGCTGCCATCTTCTAAGCCAAATATTTGAACCAGGAGAAGAAACAACACGAAGAAAGTTTCATGTTTCCACCGTTGCTTCTCCATGGCTGAGCTCCACAGGAAATGCCCCTCGTTGTTTCACTCTCAATAATCGCTAAAATAAGATTTCTCATATAACTCTGGAGAGCAAGATAAATTGAAAATTCCCTTTGATTGCAGCTTTGAAAAAGGCACTGAAGAGGCCTATTAGGGTGCACATTGACGTGGGTTTGAAAAGCAAAGAGTCGCAGAGTCGAGATTCGGCATTGTCCAGCAGATTTATGCAGCTGTGACAGTTGTTTATTAAACTTTATCAGTTGGCTGTGAAATATTTAAGAGCAAGCAGGCTGCAAAGAGGAATCTTGAATGCCTATGCCTGCCGCTGTTTTGTTTCTCTGCCTGCTGTCCAAAGGACCAATTCCTGCTTTGTGTTTGCTGAGCAAGTATACTACCAAAAGCACGAATCCTCGACTTACAATAGTTCATTTAGTCTTCGACTTACAACGGTTCATGTAGTGACCGTTCAAAGTTACAACGGCACTGAAAAATGGGACTTATGACCATTTTTCACGGTTAACGATTTTTGCAGCATCCCCATACATGACCAAAATCCAAATGCTTGGCAACCGGTTCATATTTATGACCGTTGCTGGGTCCCAAGGTCATGTCATCACCTTTTGCAACCTTCTGGCTGTCAGGATTCTGGCACTTAATCCCATTTAAATCACGAGTCTTGAGCCAAACTTCCAAAACTTAAAAATGAATTATTGGGAATTAACATGCCAGCACTGCCTGGGTGTAGCCAACTCTGAGACACGTCATTCATTGTCACCCTTGACCCTGATTTTCCCCCCACCCCCCTGGGTGTATCATAATTCATATTCTCCAAATGGGACACATACATAGCCCAGAGTCATCAATCATGCTCTCCAGTTAGAATTTTGCACGGCAGAAACTTCGGTCACCTCGTTACTATCTTTGAAAACATTTATGGAATGCAGGTTTGATTTGCAAGCTGCCACATTGCTTTCCCCTCCCTTTCGATTGGCAACTCTAAAAGACTATAGAAATATTTTCTGAGTTGACACTGACAAGCCAAGTCAATGGGGAAGCCAGGTTCATTTAACAACTGGGCTACTAACTTAAAAACTGCAGTGATTTACTTAACAACGGAGGGCAGAAAGATGTGAGAAAAATGTCACAAAATCGGGCACCACTCACTTAACAATCGCCTTGCTTAGCAATTGGAAATTGTGGAGCCAATCAGAGGTGGTATTCAGCAGGTTCTGATCAGTTCGGAGAACTGGTAATAGAAGTTTTGAGTAGTTCAGAGAACCGGCAAATACCACCTCTGACTGGCCCCGCCCCCATCTATTCTCTGCCTCCCGAGTCCCAGCTGATCGGCTGGGTCTTCTTTGGTTGCCCTGCACAGGAGAACGGAGCTGGAAAGCGGGTGGGGGGTGGGGGAATGGGGATTTGGTAGTATCCTTCCCCTGGAGTGGAATAGGAATGGAGATTTTACAGTATCCTTCCCCTACTACACCCACAAAGCCACGCCCACAAAGCCACGCCCACCAAACCATGCCCACAGAACCAGTAGTAAATAAATTTGAATCCCACCACTGGAACAAATTGTGGTTGTAAGTCTAGAAACTCATTGTATGGGGGTCCTAGAGATTCTCCCCCTATCCCAAACCCTGCTCTGCTACTTCATGGTGGAAGAGGTTGTTTTGTTTTCCTCCAGGATGAGCACAAGCTACTAGGAATCTATACAAATCGTATATGCTCCCAACAGAGTTGCCCAAGGTTTGAACAGCATCTTGGCTGCCCACCTATATTGATACAGTCATAATATTATATAGTGGAGGCAAAAGATACACTTTTGTGACAATAGCAAATGCATTGTTTAGCATTGTTTAGCATGAGCCACGGTGTTGCAGTGGTTAGAGTGCAGTACTGCAGGCTACTTCTGCTGACTGCCAGCTGCCTGCAATTTGGCAGTTCAAATCTCACCAGGCTGAAGGCTGAGCCTGGTGAGATATGAATTGCCAAATTACAGGCAGCCGGTAGTCAGCAGAAGAAGCCTGCAGTACTGCACTCTAACCACTGCAACACCGTGGCTCATGATATGCTAGTTTAAAGGTTTATTTTAGCCAAATCTTGTGAACAGAGTTTGGAGCAATTTAGAAAGTTAAGCTTTGAAAAGAGAAAACTGAAGTGGCAATTACAAAAGACAGAAGACAGGCTCATGCTATACTGCAGGATACAAAGCAGATTCAGGTTAAATGTTTGAAGAAAAAGAACTTCTCAACAACAACAAAAGTAATTTGGTAATGCAGAGAGATGGCTGTCCTTCGTTGGCTGTGTCCAATGGGTGAAGGATTAATGTGTGAAGGATGAGCTGTGGTGGCGCAGTGGTTGGAGTGCAGTATTGCAATTTGGCAGTTCGAATCTCACTTGGTTCAAGGTTGACGCATCCTTCCATCCTTCCGAGGTGGGCAAAATGAGGACCCAAATGGTTGGGGGCAATAGGCTGACTCTGTAAACTGCTTAGAGAGGGCTGTAAAGTGGTATATAAGTCTAAGTACTATTACTATTGTGCATGAGAAAGCAATGGTAAATCATTCCTGTATTTTATAGAAATATACCTACTCATCCACAACCACACAGACACAGACACACGGACAAAAATTATGAAATGATTGATGATTCTGGGAGAAAATCTATCTGTGTGGCTGCTAAGAGTTCTCACAGACTTAATGACACCGTATCAATCTGGCATGAGGGGGAATATTAATTTAGCCTGCATTTTCCCTGCAACCATGTGTATTTCTGCCTGTTTGAACCAACATGATAATCCAAAGCTTTATTATTTGAAATTTGAAATTCTCCCAGTTTTTTTGTAGTGAAATTGGCCACATAAAAATATAGTAGGGAAAGACTGTAGAAAAATTGCAACAACAATACAATAACATCACTGTGGGATTTTTGTTGGTGTCTGCATCAAAATGCATAGACATTGGCACAAATGAGAAACTTGAACAAAATTGAAAACTGGAGAAAAATAAAAAATGATTAATTTGTCCTTTCTTTGTATATGTCTGGTAGTGTGTCACCTGCCCCTAAAGTATCCAGGATCTCAACTGTAAGGTAATGTTTTTTTTTTTTTAAAAAAAATTGGGAATATTGGATAATTTCAGACGACTAGGATTATTTTCAAACGGCAACGGAAAACTGTAAACAGGAGGGTGTTTCCAGTATCAGCTGGTGCGAATTCATGCTCCTCAAATCCAGAGAGAAAGTTAATGAAGGCTAACTTTCTTTCTGGGATAACAGAGTTGGAAGGGACCTTGGAGGTCTTCTAGTCCAACCCCTCTCCAATCTCTTCTAAAAATCCTGCAGTGATTTAAGCCATATTATGGGTAACATAACTGAGGCGAAGGTCTGAGCCATTCTTTTATTTTATTTATTCGTTTGATTTGTCAATCGCTTACAAGATAATAGGTATAAGTATAAACATGAGTATGAATATATGAAATAGGTACGAATAAATGGGGACAATAGGACAGGGATGGTAGGCACGATGGTGCACTTATGCATGCCCCTTACAGACCTCTTAGGAATGTGGGGAGGTCAATGGAGGATGTTTTTAAGAAGACTCTAGACAGTCGTTTATCTGAAATGGTATAAGTTCTCCTGCTTGGGGGATGGACTAGAAGATCTCAGCGTTCCCTTCCAGCTTATTCTATTCTATTCTGTTCTGTTCTGTTCTGTTCTGTTCTGCTCTGCTCTGCTCTGCTCTGCTCTGCTCTGCTCTATTCTATTCTATTCTATTCTATTCTATTCTATTCTATTCTATTCTATTCTATTCTATTCTATTCTATTCTATTCATCAGTTCTGACCTGAGAGTCTTAAGAGAGTTTCTGTGTAAGTGCACAACTCAAAGTATGTCATAGTTTTTGTGCAGAATATAATGAAAAAAAAAGTAGAATAACCATGCACCTCAACTCAAAGTCTACTTAGTACCATATCAACAAACAGTAGGCGGCAATGTGTTGTTATCAGAGTGCAAGAATAGAAACTTGCATTCTCTACGTTAATGTAAATACGTTCCCCTTGAATTTCCAAAATATATCTTTACTATGCAGAAGACAGGAAATGAGAGGAGAGCTGTTCTCTTCTGGCTTAAAATAAATCTTAACTTTCATGACCCGATAAAGCTCAGAAGGCAAGAGCTACCCTGGGAAAGTATTTCCTGCTTAATTTTTTAGTAAACATTCATGCAATTCCTTCTGGAGTGCATGTTGTCTTAAGAAAATGGAACATTGAGTTTCCTGTCGTAGCTGTTTTCATCAAATGGTTCATTTAATCAGGGAAAGATTTGGCATCCAATGGCAATGGCACTTTGGATAGATCGTGTCCAGATGAATTTATAGAGGCACAGAAGTGAATAGTGGACATGGTGCTGGGACTAAATAATGAAGAGAGAACCTGATTATGTGTCAACTCATAAAATATTTCTATGGTCTTTAAGAGTTGCCAACAGAAAGGGAGGGAGGGGCAGTGCGGCAGTTTGCAAACCGAACCTGCATCCCGTAAATGTTTTCAAAGATAGTAACTAGGTGACCGAAGTTTCTGCCGTGCAAAATTCCAACTGGAGAGCATGATTGATGACTCTTGGCTATGGATGTGTCCCATTGGAGAATCTGAATTATGATACACCCAGGGGGGTGGAGGAAAACCAGGGTCAAGGGTGACAAGGAATGATGTGTTTCAGAGTTGGCTACACCCAGGCAGTGCCGGCATGTTAACTCCCAATAAATCCTTTTTAAGTTTTGGAAGTTTGGCTCGAGACTCATGATTTAAATGGGGTTAACTGCCGGAGCCCTGACATTATGATTACTATTATTTATATATCTATTTATGACTTGCAAAGCTACTTAGTCAGCCTTCCCCAACATGGGGGTGAGAAAATTTTTGTTGATATGGGATGGAGAGATTCTTTTTAAGACCAGGATCTGTTAATGGTTTAATTGCTTTTTATATACTTGTGAAAAGGCTGCAAATGGCTCAGTGATTAAGAAGCTGAACTTGTCCACTGGAAAGCTTACAGCCCAGGTTTGAGACCCAAGTGCTGTAGGATGGGGTGAGCTCCCATTACAGATGGCTCTCGACTTATGACCACAATTGAGCCCAAAAATTCTGTGACTAAGTGAAACACTTGTGAAGTGAATTTTGCTCCATTTTGCAACCTCC